CATGATCTGAGCAGCTTAATGTGTTGACTTGATCTAACCTTGACCATAGAGGGAAAAGGGGGAAATTAGCAGAATCAGAGGTCATTTCGGGGGGGATCGCGGGGAATGCAGTTCCCCCGGGTGAGGTGCAGGGGGTGGGGAACATGACGAAGCCCCACCCCCTGCTTCCTGCCACCCTGCTTCCGGCCCTCATTCAGCCAGGAGGAGGCAGGAGAAGAGGGAGGGCAAGTTGCTTCCTCCCCGCCTCTCCCCACCCCTGCCTGCCTGGGGCCAGGGAGGGCCTTGGCAGGGCTTCCTTCCCCGCCCGCCGGCCTTACAGGTCCACCGCAGTGCCCCTGATGTCAGGGTGTGTGGCATATGCTAATGAGTTATGCTAATGAGTTCCCCTAGCTCTTTTTCTACGAAACGACCCCTGAGCAGAATGAAACTATATCAAAGTTATCCAGATTGTATTCGAGCCTGGCTGCAAACATCAGGAATGGGATGAACTGCTGCCTGGCTTTACTTGAACTAAGTGCTCTTGATAGAATATGTGTATTACCCTAGCAATCCTAATTTGTGTTCTCAGCAATCCTAATTTGTGTTCTCAACACACTAGTTCCGTCAAGACATTTGCCAATCAGGGTTTTTTTTTTTGTTGTTATGTGTTATCAGGGCTTCTTCTTCTTCTTCTTCTTCTTCTTTTGAAAAAAAGGTGCCGGAACTCTGTAGAGGGAAATGAAGTTTTCAATTTGTATCCTGAAAACTCATGACATTTAAAACATTTTAAATAGATATTTGTTGAAGAGGTTCTGAAACTCTGTTCTGGTGCATTCCCCCAGAAGAAAAATCTCTATGTGTTATCGCCAACAATGTGACTGAAGAAAGACACCAAAAGATCAGTCAGCAATGTTCTGGTTTATCTGTGTTATGCCAATAAAGGTTTTCTGTTCTTTTTCAGTCAGCAATGATACTATATGGAATGGAGATGAGATGGTTGCTGGCATCACATGGCTTGGCAGGAAGGTTCATATACTGCAATTCATTCTCTCTCTTAACTTTCCTTTGTTGCCCTGGGGAGCTGAAATGGGAATAGAAGTTACTGAATCCAGTTCACCCATCTTTGACTGCTGTCCATTTTTGTGAAACACCCCTGTAGATGACATATGGGACACTGATTGGGTGTTATGATACTTACACCTCAGACCCCAGAGATTTAGAAGGTACTTTGTCACCCAGCTCTATCCTAGTGTGGCATCCTCTATATGTGTAAACCCTATGGTTGCCATCCTCTTGGTAGGACCTGGAGACCACCAGGAATGGCATCTGATTTTCAGACTAAAGACATCAGTTCCCCTGGAGAAAATGACTGCTTTGAAGGGTAGACTCTATGGCATTCATCTGATCCCCAAATCTAACCCTTCCAATGCTCCTCTCCCCAAAGCAAGTTCTGGTTCTGGTTCATGCTTTATGCCAGAGTACCTTTGCCCAGATTCTTTAAGGAGATCCACACTAATGAAGGGGGATTTTCGTGGCAGTCAATCTACAAGCAGTGGAATTAGCATGGGCATGGTTCTTCCATATCAGGATTTTCAAGGGAGGGTTCTGTTTTCATTGGTGGCATCATTGGTGCCACCACAGCACCCGCATTTTTATTTTTTGTGTACATGCTTATATTGATGTCTTGATATCATGGCCATATCTCAAAAAGTACCTAAAGTAGCAATATAACAATATACCATTGTAATGATAGCTTAAACAAGTCATCTGAAATCCTAGCTTTCCTTGTTTTAAAGTAAGTCTCTGACTCCTACCCTAACATAAATAGTGGCTCAAAATCTCAAAAAACCGGGATCGAGAAGACACGGGGGAAATCGAGGGGAGCTGCGGGTCAAAATGCAGCCTTTCAGTGTTTTTCTTATTTGAGGCCGCAGAACAAAATTCAATTCCAAATAATGCTTATATTTCGGTCTTGATATCATGGCCATATCTCAAAAAGTATCTAAAGTAGCAACATAACAACATACCATTGTAATGATAGCTTAAACAAATCATCTGAAATCCTAGCTTTCCTTGTTTAAATTAAGTATCTGACTACTAAAGTAAAGGTAAAGGTTCCCTTGCTTGAAAGCCAGTCAAATCCGACTCTAGGGTTGTGGTGCTCATCTCCGTTTCAAAGCCGAAGGGCCAGCGCTGTCCGAAGACGTTTCTGTGGTCATGTGGCCGGCATGACTAAACACCAAGGCACATAGAATGCTGTTACCTTCCCACCGAAGCGGTACTTATTTATCTACTTGCAATTTCTTGCTTTTGAACTGCTAGGTTGGCAGGAGCTGGAACAAGAGACAGGAGCTCACTCCGTCATGCAGCACCCGGGTCTTGAACTGCTGAACTACTGACCTTCCACAGCCTGCAGTTCAGCATCTTAACCACTTGAGCCACCACAGCTCCATCTCTGACTCCTACCCTAACATAAATAATGGCTCAAAATCTCAAAAAACAAGGATTGAGAAGACACGGGGGAAACCGGGGGGAGCTGGGGGTCAAAACACAGCCATGCAGTGAATAGTGTGAAATTAACCAATGCAAGTGGGGGAAACAGAAGAGCGAGGGCAACAAAGCTTCTTGTGGAGAATCAGTCAATGACTGGCCCCAAGAGGATTCTGACCTAGATCCTTGATCCTGATCTTACATTCTAAACACTATACCACAAAGATTCTCATATGACAGTGATGTTGTTAAAGCCTCATTGTATTTTCAAAGAGGGAATCCGGCGCGCGAGAGACGGCCCCGGCGTGCCTCTTGCATGACGCGTTTGCCTCCTCGCGAGGAGGAGCAGAAGACTGCGGTTAATTCCAAAGGGGGGTGGAGCTGCTCAGCCTTAAAGGCTGGCTCCGTTTTCTTCCCTCTTGTCAGTCGTTCAATCATTGCCTCGTGCTCGGCCCTCCCACCC